CCCCCCCCCCCCCCCCTTCAGACCTTTCAGACCGTTCCAATTGATAGGTGTGGTTCGAGCCGAGCAAGCTGAGCCTCCCTGCCACTACTACCATAGCCTGTGAGAATTGTCGCTGTTTCCTTCCACCCGCCGACCCCATCATCTTCCACCAAAACTAGTGTACACCCCCCTTCGGTCACTCGCTTTCCCCCCTGTACCTTACCTTACCTACCGCCGCCTGCTGCTGCTGCTGGTGCTGCTAGCTGACGGGCAGCTAATCTGCAACATTCCGGATTTGTCGAAATCCGTTTCCTTTGCATCCGTCCCGTCGCAGGAACTCGACTTCACCTGCTGTCTGTCACTGTCACCGCACCGCTTTGCATTGCTTGTCGTTGACGTTGGCCGCCTTCACTCGCTTTGGTGGTTCTCTTCGTCCGATCTTTTGCGCGATCGGTGTCGTCTCTCGTTTCGGTCCCATCTTCATCTAATAATACCATACACTACTACCACTACCACTACCACTACCACTACCACTACCACTACCAAGCAGACGGTACCAAAAGACGCGGTTGAAGCATTTGGCAGAGGATATCGACTATCGAAACATCCACTACTTACTGACCAGAGCTGAAACAACCACACGCGAAGCCTCAATCGCACAATTACTCGGCCATCATCGATACTGTACACACACTTCGACCACCACCACTCGTTCGCATCGCTGTCCTTGTCGGTGAGGAAAGGCGTGGGCCAAGTCTACGCTCTTGTTCCCCCCAAGGGGCTCCCGGAATCCATCTGACACTTTGCCGTCATCCCAACAACACACCATGGCGAACCGCATGTCAATGTATTCCATGGCCTCGGACGCCGGTATGGGCGGACGGGGTCCTGGTCAGCAACAGCCATCCCAGGTCTCTACCACGACTCTTCTCAACTCCGTACACAACATCTACCTCTCTTCACAACCATACCGTCTGGACGCCGGCACAAGTCTCGTCGTCAACACATGGCTTACGGCCTCCCAAGCTGGTCCCGATGGTCACGTTGGTGGAACCGTTGATGGCGCTCTGGCTTTAAGGGCATGGGAGCACGCTCGCCGCCGTGCTGAGGATGGGTGTATCATTCTTGGGTATGTCCTTGTTTGACCTACACACTTTGTCTGGTACTAACAGGTGAATGACTGCTAGATCACTGCACAACTCGACTCCTTCGCTCTTGCGACCCTTCCTGTTCACCATTCCCCTTGAGATCCCTGCCTCGGTGTACAAAGCACTCGATGCTATTGAACCCTTCCTTCGCTGTGTAACCCCTTACAACCCCTCCACTCCGAGACAGACCGGCTTGGCCGTCACCTTGACCCTCAACCTTACAGGCAACCTTACTGCCGCCTCACTCTCGCTCACACAAGGTGGTATTGACACCGACAAGGGCTTGTTGGGTGTCCCCTCTGAGCCTGGATACAGGGCCTTTGATGTCTTTTACTACCTGCTCACCACGGCCTCTACCCCTGCCGAAAGAGAGTTCCTTGGGCTCAAGGCCGCCTCTCAATACAGCCTTCTCGCCCGGTCCGGCACCTACGATCCCCCATCCTATCTTCCTACCGCCGATGATGGTGCCGCTGCCGACGACTTCAGGTCTGCCCTCAAGGACATCGGCATCAAGGGCTCTTCGCACCGCAACCTCATCTCGATCTTGGCCGGCCTCCTCAAGCTCGGCAACACACTCGATTACAATGTTGACCAAGAAGTTTTGGAGGAAATATGCGAGGATGTCGGTGGACTTCTTGGTATCGAACCCGAAATTCTTGCCAGGCAACTCAGCACCGACGACCGGGCGACCTTGATCGGAGGACTCTATGAGGCTTTGGTCGATTGGGTCATCAAGAAGGCCAACGATGCTATTGCCGTGCAGATGGGTAGATCCAGAAATGGCGATGACTCTAGCGACGGTGCCTCCCGGAGTGGTGCGCCCACTTCCAACGAGGACAGTGGCGATACTGTCTGCCTCACTGTCCTCGAGATTCCCGACCAAAACTTGGGCAAGGCTATTGCCATGCGGGGCATCTTCGACGACACTCAGGGTATCAACTCGGAAATGAAGGCTGACGGCGTCGAGGTGGTTCCCGTTTCCAGCTCGGTTGTGCGGGAAATGCAGAGTGCTGTAGCAGAGTGTGGTCCTGATCTGGGTATTATGGTTGGCTCGGTTGGCCGGGAAAGGCAACGCCTGATTGAGAAGCGCGAGGAAATCTTGGAAAAGACTGCCTTCGCATCAGAAGATGAGGGTTTCTTGAGGAAGCTCTTGCTCCCGGTTCCCACCGAGGGTATCAACCTCGGCCGCACTGGCCGTGTGGATGTTGCGGATCTTCTGAACCGCAGTCGTGCTTGGTATCACCTCTGCATCCACCCCACAGACGACTCACCTTCTAGTCTCGCTGCCCTTCCTGCCGTCAACTCAGCCTGGTCAGCTGGAGCTGTTTCTCGCCAGCTCCGCACCTGGAGGCTGTCCGAGTGGGCCAACAGACGCAATAAGCACATTGACTACACCGCCGATTTTGATCACCATGAATTTACTCAGCGGTATCGGCCTCTGGGCTGTATGGATGGCCGTGACGGTATCGAGAGCTGGATCCTGGAGCGGGGCTGGAGCAACGGCGAGGTTGTCGTGGGCAACGAGAGGGTATGGATGAGGGAGAGCGCGTGGTGGGAAGCCGAAAGTATGTTGGACCTGAAGCCCATGGAAGCTGAGAGGCTCAACAGCATGCGCAACCTGATGGCCCCAGGGGCCATGGGCTCGGGCTATTCTCACAACGGAAGCGGCTTCTTCCCGCCTCAGGTACATGCTGACCATATGCGTTCTCCCTTTGCCGATGGAACCTCCAACGGGAGCTACGATCACCTCGCTCTCGGTGGTAATCTTAGCCAAAACAACCTTAACCCGAGCCCCGTGCGTGCTCCTTCCGTTGCCCCTACGAATATGACTGGCATGCGCAGCGGTGATTACGGTCTTGGTCCCAAGGGCGATCAATACAAGGGACAGGTCTTTTACAACGCTGAAGGTCAACTGGTTTCGGAATTAGAGCCCGACCTTGCTGAGGGCAAGAAGATCGAGGAGCGGCCTATCTCCTCCCAAAGGAAAATCTGGGTCTTTATTGTTTGGGCTTTGACGTGGTGGATTCCATCGCCATTACTCAAGTTCGTCGGTCGGATGAAGCGGCCTGACGTGCGTATGGCATGGCGTGAGAAGTTTGTTCTCTGCCTCATTATCGTTATTCTCAACGCCATCATCGTTTTCTGGATCATCTTCTTCGGTCGTCTTCTTTGCCCCAATTTCGACAAAGCCTGGACTCTGGAAGAAATTCAGAATCATGCGGCAGGGGATGACTTCTGGGTCAGCATTGACGGCAAGGTTTACGACATCACCAAATTCTGGAGATTGCAGCACAGCGACAACAACATTGACACCTCGTCGGATGTAATGATGCCGCTTGCTGGCCAAGACCTCTCCGCTTACTTTGTCGCGCCTCTCTACATTTCCTGCCCCGGCCTCGGCATCGCGGATTCAACTACGTTGCAATTCAATACTACCCCTGAATATGTTGTGGCCCAGCATATCTCCGGCCCAACGCAGCCTAATATTCGGAGCAAGCTCTCTGAAAGATACTGGTATACAGAGAGATTCTTGCCCGCCATCAAGGAGTATTACCATGGCGACGTGGTTTGGGATTCCAAGAAGATTAAGCAGGAAGGCCTAGATTGGAATCACCCGTGGTTCATCTACGAGGATCTCGTTTACGACATGACCGATTACATGTACACCGCCAAGCGTATGAATAACGATGCTACATACACATTCATCGACGCCAAGATCACCAACATGGTCAAGAACAACCCCGGCCAGGACTTGACCGAGCAGATTAACGACCTGATTGATCGCGCCAGTAGCAACCAGACCCAGTATGAGAGTGTTATGAACAGTCTTAACTGTGTCAAGAACACGTTCTACGTCGGCAAGCCCGATTTCCGTTATTCGGCCAGGTGTCAAGTCAACAACTACATCTTGCTTGCATTTTCCATTATCATCTGCAGTATCATCGTGGTCAAGTTCGTGTCGGCTCTTCAATTCGGATCCAAGAGACGCCCTGCTCCCCAGGACAAGTTTGTCATCTGCCAGGTGCCCGCTTATACCGAAGGTGAAGACTCGCTGAGGAAAGCCCTGGACTCTTTGACAGCCCTCCAGTACGATAACAAGCGGAAGCTTATCTTTGTTATTTGCGACGGTGTCATCGTCGGTGCTGGCAACGACCGTCCTACTCCCAAGATCGTCCTCGATATTCTCGGTGTTGACCCCAAGGTTGACCCACCTGCCTTGGCCTTCAAATCCGTCGGTACTGGAGCCGAACAGCTCAACTACGGCAAGGTCTACTCTGGCTTGTATGAATTTGAAGGGAATGTAGTACCTTATATCGTGGTTGTCAAGGTCGGCAAGGAGTCTGAGCAGTCCAAGACGAAGCCCGGTAACCGTGGTAAGCGTGACTCGCAGATTCTGCTCATGAGTTTCCTCAACCGCGTCCATCACCGTGCGCCCATGAATCCCTTGGAACTGGAAATCTTCCACCAGATTAACAACATCATTGGTGTGGATCCCGAACTTTACGAATACCTCCTCATGGTCGATGCCGATACCTGCGTTCGCGAAGATTCTCTCAACCGCCTAGTGGCTGCCTGCGCCAATAACGCCAAGATTGCCGGTATTTGCGGTGAAACCAGTTTGCAGAATGAGGATCTTTCGTGGTGGACCATGATCCAGGTTTACGAGTACTATATTTCTCATCACTTAGCGAAGGCTTTTGAGTCTCTTTTTGGCAGCGTTACCTGTTTGCCCGGTTGGTAAGTTTTGCTGTCCCTCCACTCACTGATTGTTGTAGGCAATACTGACAATTCAATAGTTTCACCATGTACCGCTTGCGTACTGTTGACAAGGGAAAGCCGCTCATTATCTCGGATGATATTATCCGCGAGTACAGCGATTGCTATGTTGACACCCTCCACAAGAAGAACCTGCTCTCGCTTGGTGAGGATCGTTTCCTCACCACGCTCATGACCAAGCACTTCCCATACATGTCTTACAAGTTCATTCCCGATGCCTACTGCCAAACGGCCGCCCCCGAGACTTGGAGCGTTCTGCTGTCTCAGCGTCGTCGTTGGATCAACTCAACCATCCACAACTTGGCTGAATTGATCTTCCTCGATGAAATGTGCGGTTTCTGTTTCTTCTCAATGCGCATTGTCGTCTTCATCGATCTCTTCGGTACTATTATTCTTCCCGCCACTTGCGTCTACATCGTTTATCTCATTTACACGGCCTCCTCCCACACTGGACCGTTCCCTCTTCTTTCGATCATCATGATTGCGGCCGTGTACGGTCTCCAGGCACTCATCTTCATCCTCAAGCGCCAATGGCAGCATGTGGGCTGGATGATCATCTACCTCCTCGCCTTCCCCATCTACTCCTTCATCCTGCCCATCTACTCGTTCTGGCATCAGGATGATTTCGCCTGGGGTAATACGCGCGTTGTCATTGGTGAAAGCGGTAAAAAGCAAGTTGTCGCTGTCGACGAGGAGGGCTTCAACCCCCGTGCCATTCCTCTCCAGCGCTGGGACGAATATGCCCTCGCCAACAACCTTCCCGGTCGTCGCGGTGGCCCTCTTGAGAAGGGTATGGACGAGCACCTGGGCGGTATGTACGAGGAGACCTACGAGGTCGATGACATGAAGTCGGTCTACTCTTCGGTCCGCCAGCCGTCCGTTCTTACTGGGTTCGGTGGTCGCGGTGCCGGAGCTTACATGCCCCCTCACAGCCCTGGTTTCCCGCCCAACGGCGGCGGTAGCGGCGCCATGACCCATGCCAGCACCTTTGTCGGCGCCTCCCCCTTCACCGAGCAGAACAACCTCATGAACCGTCAGAGCATGGCCTCGATGGGCACCATGGTCGAGATGCAGCGCCGCGCCAGCCCGTACCAGGACTTCCCTGGCGGTCATAGCCGCGGCCCCAGCCAGGGTGCTATGCGGTCCATGACCAACACGCCTCCTGCTCTGGGCGCCGGCGGCATGGTCAACGCCCGCCTGTCCACGGCCACGGGCATGAGCCTGGGTATTCCTGGACACCGTCCCGGCATGAGCCATTCGGAAAGTTCGCGGTCGTTTGACTTCCAGCGCAGCACTCCCGGCCCCGATGACCAGATGATCATCGAGGCCATCCAGGGCGTGCTCCGCGAGGTTGATTTGGACACGGTGACGAAGAAGCAGGTGCGGGCGCTGGTGGAGCAGCGGTTGCAGACGGAGTTGGTGGGTGAGAGGAGGACGTTTATGGACAGGCAGATTGATAATGAGTTGGCGAACATGTGAAGTGGAAACATGTGATCTGATACATGAAGGATGGAACCTGATTTCATGTCATAATGGATGCCGGGTATTGAAGTGACATGGATTGGATGGATTTTTGGATCATTTTATCGTTTGTTAGTGGTTGAGACAAAAAAATATTAATGGATATAGTAGCATAGACACTATCTTTTTTTTGGAATACTTGGTAATTTCTTGGCTTCAAGTTTTATTGCATAGTTATATCATATCATAGCAATGTATCTCTTTGCAGTTGCACCCCAAGACGTACTACCGACGCATGCGAGGTGAGGCTGAGTTTCTAATTTGTTAGTCAATGGTTGATGTTTGGTTGGCGTCATTGAGGAAAGGCACGATGAGGAATATGAATCTTGAATGTAAATGTTGAGTTCGAAATCAAACAAGTAACATCGAATCGCGTTTCAAACCTCGTTCATCTCACTGGTCGATTCGCCTTGAACAAGGAGCAGGAATGAACACAACATTCTATTCTCCAGATTTGACGCGTTGAAGTCATATTTCTATGGACCCTCTTTCAAATCTCGTAGCCAAATACTATATACTCATAACCGGCAGGGCAACTTGACATGCGATCTATAACAGCGGACCGACCGACCGACCGACCGACCGACCGAACCCGACATATGTAGTTTGTACACTCAATATTCGATCTTACCCACCCCTTTCAACCTCAAGTACACATCCGTGCCCCATCCGTACAAACTCTGCACCGCAATCCCTCCCCCAAAGTACTCAGCATACGCCCTACTCAGCGGCAACCCATACCCCAGCCCGGCAATCGTGCTCCCGCCCACCCCCGTATTCGAAATCAACCCCATGGCCTCCTCCCCCCACGCCCCCGGCGACTCATGATGATCATCATCATCCGCGTCGTTAAACGTTGTGAACGAGTATCTCCAAATATTCGGCAACACGGCCGGGTTAATGCCTCCTCCCCTATCTCTGATCCTGATCGTCACCCCGGGCGCACGGTCATGCAGCGGGATGATGCCATGCTGCGCTTGTTTTTGTAGTTGTTGTTGTTGTTGTTGCGCTGCTGCTTTTCCTTGTTGACTCGAAGAAATCGAATTCGAACCCGAAGAAGAAGGAGAAGAGTTCTTTTGGGAAGAACTAGGAGGGCAATAATCCGAGTAAACACCGGGTGTCGCCGCGCTGGCGGAACTGCTCGCCGGCTCGGGCGCAATGGTTACCACGACCGGCTCGCGGCTCATGCCGTTTTCCACGGTCGCTCTGAACGCGTTCTTCAAAAGTTCCGTGACAATGTACTCGAGGTGCATGGGCACAAACGCAAAGGTGGCGTCCGGTTCGCCGTCCACCACCCACTCGGGGCGCACGCCGTAGTTAAGCTCGCAAATGTCGGCGACAAAGTCACCGCACGAGTCGATCACGCTGGCGGGCCGCAGGGTCGTGTCAATGACGCCGATGTAGGACGGGTGCGTCTTGGGCTCTGGACAGAGCGTGGGCGAGGCTTCCGGGTCGAAGTGCGGCGTAGAGCTGTAGTGCAGGGCTATGTGCTGCTCGGCTACCAGGCGGGTGCCGATGCGCGCGCGTAGATGTTCATCGAGGAAGCGGGTCACTTCGCTGGGGGAAATGTACTTGCGGCATTCGATGAAGCCCTTGGCCAGGATGGGAATGGTGTCGGTGTGGGTTTGGACGAGCTCGGCGAGGACCTGGGTGAATTTGATCTCGTCGTCTAGCGAGCTGATGGTCTTGCCTTGCCAGGGAAGCAAGGTCGAGAGCGAGTGCTGGTAGTTGTTGTATATGCGCGAGATGTTGGGGTTAGAGACGACGATGTAGGGCAAGTTGCGCAGGGCTTGGATGCGGTGGGCGAGGCGGATGGGGAGCAGGGAGAGGGTGAAACGCGCCGAGGAGAGGAGGGCTTCGGCGGAGAGAGGGGGGCGGCCGTGTCTGGGAGAATGAGGCCATTGTTAGATCAACGCCTTAGATAAAGTGGAATTGGTTGTTTACTTGACAAGATCGGCCAGACTCAGCTGGTGTAGAGGCTGGTTAGCCAGCCATGGGACTTTGTCCTCTAGCTCATGGCGACTGCTGAGCGGGCGGTCGTAATGGGGTCTCGCGATATTCTGGTTCAGGATGGAATACAGTCTCGGGTAGTTTGAGGAGCTCAAGGAGGCCTTGAGAGGGCTGGGAAACCTCGACGGCCTCGCGATGGATTTCATGTCGGCATGTTGTGCGGTCGCGGGTTTCTGTTACGAGACTGAATTTGGGACTACAACGTACTTCCAATTTTGGTGCAACAAGTACGTAGGTAGGGTCCGGTGGAGAGTGCCGTGTTGCTTTCAGTTCGTTGTCATTCGGTGGTGTCGGGTGTGTGTGCGCGGGACGGCGATCAGCGCCGCGATGGGATGACATAGGTAGCAGTCAACGCTGAAACAGGGTTATCGTGGTCCAATCGATACGCTAGGCGGGCGATAAGGGGCTGCCCACAGGCCGCTTGGAGCCGAGTTGGAGCACCTTGAGGGCTGGGCTGGGCTGAGGAGTGCTTCCACTTGCTTTGGCTGTGCTGTGCTTCCCGTTCTGCCCGTCTGGGTGCTGTCAGTTGCTCTCTCCTCCATCCAGCATGACGCATCCCCATTGCAAGTCTGGACTTCCTGGTTGAACACATAGGCACAGTCAGTCAGTCACACGATTCAAGTTAACTTGTGCAAATTGGAAACTGAATATTCCTTTGAATTCATAACAATCATCAAATGGCCGCCTTTATCTGCTCCAGTGGAGAGTGTCACTGGAACGACAGCGAAACCGGCAGGTAAGCCCCGGGCACCCTGTCGCTGTCAACACTAGGTAACCTCCATCTCGCTGTTACCCCGCGATTGGTGCCCCGCATGAGATCCATCACCAGATCATGCTTCTCTCTCTGAGCAGGCGACTGTAGTCTCATCCTATACCTGTCCTTCCCGGGCTAATGTCATATCATTCCCAATGTTGTTGTCCTTGACGCCTAATGCTTCAAACATGCTGTTGAAATCGGATGCGCTCTTTTACTGGGTCCTGACCTCCTGGTCGGCCTCGACGCCCTTGACGTGCTCGTGGTTCTCAAGGGTGGAAACAGAGCCCTCGGGATAGATGGCCCTGTGGTTAAAAAGAGAGGGTCAGCTCTTGTGTCTAATTCTGAAGACGGAGGCTGTCATACTGGAAGGCCTTGATGAGGGTGTACTCGTGGCCAATCTTGCCGCCCTGCGCCTTGACGTCCTCCTTGGTCTTGGCGATCTCCTCGTCGGTAGCGGTGTCCTTGAGGGTAACCTGACATGGTGAACAGGTCAGTAAGAGTCTTATGGGTAGTGCGAGGCGCGAGTGCGGCATGCTTACAATGTAAGAAGGCATCTTTGCGGTGGTGGGAGGGTTGTTTGGTGAAAAAGTTGGGGTTGCTGTATGGAAATAGTGAAACAGAGTGTAGTGGTTGGTCGTGAACTTGGAGAGTCGGTACTGCGTCTCGAGGAGCGGACGGAGGAGCATCTTATACGTGATCAAGGGACAGGCACAAGTGGAAGTGGACTCGAGCTACCTACAGATGCACATGTGCCAGATAAGCGGCAATCATGCTAGATTGGTCTTCCTGCCACGCCGTCAGGAGCCACAAGTGACGCGGCACCAGGGACATTAGCATTCTCTGGAGCGGATGATACGTCATATCCACTTGGACCAGACTTGCTGCGCCTACCGCAGGTCGTTTTGTGACTTGTGACACTCTTTTGGCTGCCAGGCGTGGGGATGACAAGAGACAATCCTCCATCTCAGCGCCCAACAAGACAGCCTTGCACACGATCACCTAATAACGAGCGCTTAGGCGCGGGCTGAGACACTAGGAGTGGTGTGGGAGGATGGATCCAGTCATCTTCCGACCATCTTGCTACTCAGGATCGTGCATGTTACCTGTCTGTTGTAATAACTCTGAGCCTATACGCCATACCCTCCTTATGTGTGTAAATCGGAAACCCTCCTTCCCGCGACAATTACGTATGTAACCCTCAAAATGGTGTGTTATGCAAGAAGGGATGTCATGGCTGTTTGACTTTGCGGGCCCATTCGACATTCCTCGGTCGAGGCCGTAAGTTATCAACTGGCTCTGTCATGGTCTCGACTCTTCTTTAACCGTTTGTTGGCGGTCCCTGAACAATCCAATGCATTTACATAGCGTGGTATGTAGTCTCCACCGGTGAGGGAGGGCTTGGTACAATAGAGGTAGTTAGGTTGGTCATGCTCAAGACAGCACAAGATATCTCAACCATCCAACGGAATATCTTCGTATAAGCCTCTGGAAATAGTTACTCCGAAGACACAGCTCACTCAGTAGTTGGTTAAAGATAAGAAACGTGACTGGACATATACGTTGGGTTCGTCTGTTGTTCAAGGTTCCAAGACTTGAAGGTCGGGACTGCCTGTCAGGGTCTCCAACTCCCCGCATGCTCCATGCCGGGGATAGGTCCCGTCGCCTGCCGGAAAGCGGTCCCACCATTCAGGTATCTTATCTCTTATCGATAACCTCTTGGCGTTCCATCAGAAAACCGGCTATCCAAAAAATTTGGACAGCAGCTTTTTGGCAGTTGAATTGGGAGCGAGTCCCGTCGCATTTCCACTTGCACCTGCTTTCGCGACCGCGTGTCCATCCATACTACTGAACTTGCAAAAAGTTCACGGACACCAGCCGTAATCATGGCCGACGTCCAAGCCCACAAACCCCATCGGGCTTCCAAGAAGTCCAAGGAGAAGGGGGCCTCCAAGCACACAGGTGGTATGTGTATCCAATTGTTTCCTTTATCGTTACCATTCACAGCTGACCGTTCCTGCAGAAAAGAACCCCAAGGCCTTTGCCTTCTCCAACCCTGGTAAGCTTGCCAGACAAGCCGCCAGATCTCACGATGTAAGAAGACATTCCATCGCTCCATCCTTCCATGACCTCTCAATTAACTGGTCTTGTCCCACAGATCAAAGAGAAGCGTCTTCACGTCCCTGCCGTCGACCGTCTCCCCGATGAACCACCCCCAAGACTCGTCGCCATCGTAGGCCCCCCTGGTGTAGGAAAGACCACCCTTCTCAAGTCTTTCATTCGACGATATGCAAAGGAAACCATCCAAGATCCGGTGGGACCTATCACGGTCGTCACCTCCAAGAAGCAGAGATTGACCTTCATCGAATGCGCCAACGAACTCGAGGCCATGGTCGACATTGCAAAGGTCGCCGACATTGTCCTTCTCATGATCGATGGAAACTTCGGCTTCGAGATGGAGACTATGGAGTTCCTTAACGTCCTCGCCGCCACGGGTATGCCCGGCAACGTCTTTGGCATCCTCACCCATCTCGACCTGTTCAGGAAGCCCCAAGCACTAAAGGAGGCAAAGAAGAGGTTAAAGCACAGACTTTGGAGCGAACTCTACCAGGGTGCCCACCTTTTCTACCTTTCCGGTGTCCTGAACGGCCGTTACCCCGATCGCGAAATCCACAACCTCTCCCGCTTCTTGTCCGTCATGAAGAACCCCCGCCCGCTCGTTTGGCGCAACTCCCACCCTTACACCATCATCGACAACTACCGTGATGTCACCCACCCCACCCAGATCGAAGAAGACGAGAAATGCGACCGAACGATTGAACTCTCCGGTTACCTGCGTGGTACGAACTTTTCCGCCGAGGGCCAAAGGGTACATATTGCTGGTTTGGGCGACTTTACAATCAAAGAGATGGAACAATTGCCGGATCCTTGCCCGACTCCCGCTATGGAACAAGCGCTGGCCAAGGCCAGTGGCAAGACTGGCAGAAGGCGACTCGACGAGAAGGACAAAAAGCTCTGGGCGCCCATGGCGGACCGCAGCGGCTTGAAGATTACTGGCGATCACATCGTTATCACTAGGGAGAACGGCTTCACATTCGATAAGGATGCTGTGGGCGTTGAGCGCGGCGAAGGAGAACAGCTCATCATCGACCTGCAGAACGAGAGGCGTCTCCTTGGTCAAACGGACGAGGGTGTCAAGCTGTTCGCGAGCGGACAAAAGATCAACCAGCTCCCTGTCGAGGACGAGGATGTTGGAAACACTGGCCGCAAGAGCCGAAGGACCGCCAGACTTGCCGATGGCGAGAGTGGTGAACCGCCTGAGGACGAAGGCTTCGAAAGCGGAGAGGAGGATGAGATGGAGGATGGATCCGATGTCGAGTCCGAGTTCAACGAGATGAAGCTGGGCAAGATGTTCAGGAAACAGACCGACGACGACCAAGAAGAGGACATCGCCTTTGCCGACAGTGACTCCGACCTTGGTTCGATATCCGGCGATGAAGACCAAGGATCCGACTTTGACGATGACGAGGACGACGAGGAGGATCCTGAGCTCAAGTGGAAGGACAACATGATGGAGCGCGCAAGTCAGATACACGGAAGGAGGAAACCCTTCCGCGCTGTCGACTTGGCGAGGTACATGTACGACGAGTCGATGGCCCCTATAGAAGCCATCAAGAAATGGGCCGGTCAAGACGACGAGGAGGAGATCGAAGAGAATATCGAAGAGGACGACGAAACCTTCTTCCGGAGGACTGGCAAGGAGGACAAAGAGGACTCTTGGGAGGATCGCATGATTCCCAAGTTCGACTACGAACAACTCGAAGCCAAGTGGTCTGACAAGGACGCTGTCGAGGCTCTCCGAAACAAGTTCGCCACCGCCAACCTACTTGACGACGCTGAGGGTGAGGGCGAAGATGGTTCGGATTTCGAGGGTCTTGATGACGAGGACGACGACGACGAAGGTGACGGTGCTTTTGAGGATCTCGAGACAGGGGAGAAGCACGGCGCTGACGACGAGGATGAAGAAGAAGAAGAGGAGGAAGGAGAGGAGCAGCCAGCAGAAAGCCTTGAAGCCGAGCGTGAGAAGAACGCCCGCCGAAAGGAGGAGCTCAAGCTTCGCTTCGAAGAGGAAGATCGTGAAGGTTTCAAGAACGACAAGGCGATTGCCAGGCGAGAAGGTGGCAATGATGACGAGTTTGGAGAGGACGACTGGTATGACGCTCAAAAGGCCATGATCCAGAAGCAGCTCGACATCAACAAGGCGGAATACGAGAACCTTGATGAAAGCCAAAGGATCGCTGTCGAAGGCTACAAGGCCGGCAAGTACGCCAGGATGGTCATCGAGGGTGTCCCAGCAGAGTTCGTCAAGAACTTTAAGCCACGGATGCCGATCGTTGTCGGAGGTCTTTCGGCCACGGAGGACAGATTCGGCTTTGTGCAAGTTAGAATCAAGAAGCACCGTTGGCACAAGAAGATTCTCAAGACGGGAGATCCCCTCATCTTCTCCCTCGGCTGGCGCCGATTCCAGTCTCTTCCCATCTACTCCATCTCTGATTCTCGGACGAGAAACAGGATGCTGAAGTATACTCCGGAGCACATGCACTGCTTCGGTACCTTCTACGGCCCCCTGTGTGCCCCCAATACGGGTTTCACATGTTTCCAGTCCTTCTCTTCCGCCAACCCCGGGTTCCGTATTGCGGCTACCGGTACAGTATTGAGCGTAGACGAGTCTACCGAGATCGTCAAGAAGCTCAAGCTGGTATGTTACCCTCCGCCTATTGTGTATGGTGTTTTTGATGCTAACAACTCGTCCAGACCGGTACACCATACAAGATCTTCAAGAACACGGCCTTCATCAAGGACATGTTCAATTCGGCGCTGGAAATCGCCAAGTTCGAGGGTGCCTCCATCAAGACCGTCTCGGGTATCCGCGGTCAGATCAAGCGCGCACTCGCCAAGCCCGACGGCCACTTCCGTGCCACCTTTGAGGACAAGATCCTGCTCAGCGACATTGTCTTCTTGCGCGCGTGGTACCCCATCAAGCCGCACCGTTTTTACAACCCGGCCACCAACCTGGTCGGCTGGCAGAGCATGCGTCTCACGGGCGAGGTCCGCCGCGACCAGAACATCGCCACGCCGCTCGACAAGAACTCGCAGTACCGCAAGATCGAGCGCGAGACCCGTCGGTTCAACCCTCTCCGTGTGCCGCGTGCCCTCGCGGCCGAGCTGCCCTTCAAGTCGCAGATCATCCAGACCAAGAAGCAGAAGAAGGAGACGTACATGCAGAAGCGTGCGGTCGTCGTCCGCGGCGAGGAGAAGAAGGCGCGCGATCTCATGCAAAAACTCACGACGATCCGCAAGGAGGTGGTGGAGAAGCGCAAGGCCAAGAAGGCGGAGCAGCACGAGAAGTACAAGAAGAGCCTGGAAGAGGCCGAGGAGCGGATCAAGAGCAAGGAGAAGAAGGAGAAGAAGGCGTATTGGGAAAGGGAGGGTAAGAAGCGTGGTCCTAGCGGCGACCAGGGTGGTGGTGGTAAGAGGAGGAGGTAAATGATGTTGTTGTCGTCAAGGGGAAAATAATTGCTTGTTTGTTTCAGTCATCATTGTCATCATCATCACCTGGGTTCACTTTTGGGAGTACTACTACTACTGTATATAGAGAGGCATCCACATCCATCGATCCATACCCGGGAAAGAAATTGTTTCTTTTTTGCTAGCACGAGCGAAAAGCATTGGTTGAGATATTCGCTAGTTGGTTGGTGGGTGGGTGGTCCTAGAAGTACTTGTTCGTGTGTGGGTGTGTTTTAGGGGTTGCATTGTAGCACAAATTGTTAGTGCATACTTGCCACTTGCCTCTGTCGCGGATTGCTCGATTTGGTTCCACTGTTCACGACGACAACCTCATAGTTTCGTTTCACGGCAGCAACACTCACTCGCCTTTTTCCCCAATCATCTATCTGCCCTATTCGACCGTTCACTGTAATTCTCAGTCACATTTTCGGAACACACAGCACGATTTACCCAACGACCCACAATATGCTCACCTTGACCACTCGTCAATCCTTACATCACCTCCCCTCATCACTTCTCCGAGTCCTCCTCCTACCCATCATAGCCACCAAACGCTTCCTATCCTACACAGCCAAGACATCATCTCTGTCCTTGACAACTCCCATCACCACCCGCAAACTCCTTCTTTCCCCATCCTCATCCCCAAACTTCAACAACCTCCAGAAAAGATCCCTCCACCTAGCACCTCCCTTCCTCCTCGACGACTACACGCCTCGCTACCTCCAGTTATCTGAAGTCGACGCGGCCAAGAAACGATCGCAAGCATATGCTCACCTGGCCAAGTGCAACTTGTGTCCGAGAAAGTGTGGGGTGAACAGGTTTGAGAAGACAGGGTGGTGCTTGATTGGGGAGAAGGCGAAAGTTAATGTTATTGCGCCGCATTTTGGGGAAGGTGAGTTTTTTTTTTTTTTTTTTTTGTTTATTGTTTGGTATTCTTCTTCTGTTATCTACGTATTTTGATCCGTGATTTTCTTCTGTGGCCGTTTTGGTTTTGTTTGGTTATCAGGGTTCGGAGGATCTGGAGGGAAGACCTCGTGGCGGATGCGGATGCGGATGCGGATGCGGATGCGGATAATGTTCAGTTCAGAAGCAAATTGTTCTGAGGTTCTTGGTCACTCAGTCAGTTCAGTCTGTTGGGATTGTTCATCAGTCTAGGTGTACACACTGTGGTGCTGGCAAGGGGCAGGTTTTGGGCCATTGCGGGTGATTGGGTGTCATAACCGCGCAAGGGAGAGAAGAAGGCGGTTCGGGGTATCCGAAAGAGTAAAGAGGAGGGATTGGTGAGTGTCATTGGATGGGAGTTTCCGTGAAGATGATGAAAGAAGGGGTTCCTCCTCCTTGCCACGTTCGACCAGGAAGAAAGAATACGGCAGACTGGTGGCTTCTGGTGGCTTGCTTGCTTTCTCTTAGCATCATCATCATGTCAGGGACGGGAAAAATTGACTGAAGTCATTTGTGACCACAGAACCATGCATTCAGGGACATCATGGGAGTGGTTCGGTTTTCTTCAGGTGCGTACTTTCATGATGTTACCGAGTAGGATCCAAGGAGAATAGCATCGGACTAACTACGATGTCGCGAAAGCATGTGTAACCTCCGCTGCGTCTTCTGCCAAAACCACGACATCTCACACCAACGAAACGGCATGGATTTGACTCCCGAAGAGCTAGGTGACTGGTACATGAAGCTGCAAGAAGTCGGAAACGTGCACAACATCAACCTTATTACCCCTGAACAGTGAGTCCATGTCCTACCTACGTTCCCGCCTCCCCAGCATTGACCCCAGATTTTGGTCGATCTCGTACAAATCTACCTACTAAGTACCATCCATCTTAATCGTGCCTCCCCAGACGGCACGGCAAAATCACAAAGACAAAAAGTGGCTGACGTACATCTTTCTCTCTCCTTCCTTTCACGAACAATTAGCGTCGTCCCCCAAGTAGCCCTTTCCATCCTGCACGCACGGTCTCAAGGTTTACGCATCCCCATCATCTACAACACTTCCTCCTACGACTCTCTCGAGTCCTTAGCTTTGCTCGACGGACTAGTGGACATTTACCTGCCCGACTTCAAGGTCTGGGAACCGTCCACTTCCAAACGGCTGCTCAAAGCAGATGACTACGCCGCCACGGCGCGGGAGTCCATCAAAGCCATGCACGCGCAAGTCGGGGACCTATGTTTTACTGGTGACGGTATTGCGAAGAGTGGGGTGCTGGTTAGACATCTGGTGATGCCTGGCCTCGAAGAGGAAGGGGCAAAGATTATGAGGTGGTTGGCTGAGGAGGTGAGTAGAGATGTGTTTGTGAATATTATGGAGCAGTATAGGCCGAGTGCGCATGTGGGGAAAGTTCAAACCAGAAGAAAGACACATGGAGGGGAGGAAACAGAAGGAGACAAGAAAGAAGAAAGACGGTATGCCGAGATCAATCGGGCTGTAAAGGGGGAGGAGGTGGAGAGTGTTCGGAAGGCGGCTGAGAGGGCTGGGTTATGGAGGTTTTGTGATCCGCCGAAGCATGATGGGTTTAACATTTAAACCTGCGTCATATGTAAACTAGACTAGACTTACTAGATCTTCTTCCTGGTATTCTCCCTTTGAAGGTCATGGAAGGTTTAGTTTGCGCTTGTTATTCTCTGTTGTTTGCCTTCTAGAATTGTCTAAGTTGCACACGTGGATGTTGTTATCAACAACGTTCTTCGGCTCCGAACTGGGAAGTTCCGAAGTCCGGACTTGAAGATCGCCTCTCCGAGAAATTGAACTAGGGAATCAGGACCGAGCAAACATAAAGCCGCGACTCCTCAGGAGTCAAGCCTCACAGTGCCTCACTGGTCTGATTCTGCTTGACGGTCTTAGACGGGTGTTTGTCTGATAAGTCCTGAACCAAGGAACTCAAGTACGCAAGGCAATTGGCCTCTCGGATGTTTTGCCCGATTAGGGGTCAGCCACCAGCAGTCTCATTCTTTGGGCACGTCAAGCCACCGCACGAGGCATGAGTGTGTGTCTTCTTTGTTTCGAACTCTAATCTTGTTCCGAAAAGGGGGCTTGCTCCAGCTTATACCTAGCCGAGCGAGAGAAAAAACACAGCCAAGGCCTACGCCACTCCCTCCTTCATCTTCTTTCAAGGGTAGTAGAACCACCAAGGGCCTGCCTGACCCCGCAAGCAATAACGCCCCCCTTTTCAAGGGAGAACCAAGAAAACTAGGATGTCTGTGATGCGTTGGGTATTGTTCCAAGAACAACACCCAGGCGAGTCGCCCACCGTGATGGAGGGGCGGCTTTGTCAAGCAACCAGCGGGTCTGGAAGCCACGAGGTCGAAAAGCCGGGCTAGACCTTGGCGGCTTCCGGCCCCGAAGTGATGAGTGGGTGGGATGGCCATAATGAAATCATTATCGGGAAGATTCCAGTCGAAGACGAGGAGGAAAAGGTGAATGAGCGATGAGCGCCTATAGCAAGCCATGCGTTCTTGGCTTAGATACATGCCCACCTCAAGGAAGCCTGTCTCATGACTACCGAGGGGTATCTAGCTGACTGAGGGCGTTGCGTTGCTGGAGTTGATATCCATAAACTTGGATCAATTCCTAGAACAAGTCGCACAAGATCTTCTCTCCCGTCACTCAACTCACTCCACCCGACCTCCTTCTCCAGTCTGTTGTTCGAGTCTCCGTCCGTTGTTTTTCCATATCCCCATTCCTTGTCACATATACAACATGCCGTCTTCAGTCAGCAGCAGCCATGGAGGGCAAGCTACCCTCATAGACGGAAGGCCACCAAGCCCAGCCATGTCGACGACCACCACTCTCTCACCACCCAGCCCAGTCATTGGAGGGGGAGGGGGAGGAAAACATGACCACCACCCAAGCATCATCTCACACGATGCAATGGCAGACGTCAAGTCCAAGATTGAGAAGCTCGCCAACGAGCTGAAGCAGCAGCAGCAGCAATGTCGTCAGCAGTCAAGCAACAACACTCGTCCAATACTCCCCCATTTGAACACCGATAGCATCATCACCGCCACCACAGCCAAGAAAATAAACTTGACCAGACCTGTCCTATCGCCCTTCTCCCGAGCCAAAAGCCATCAGCTCCAGCAACACGGCCATCAACCATCCACTCCCGGCCCCGTCATCCCAGGCCTCGAACCCGCCTCCCGCTCTCTCTCCGATCTTCACAACGAACGCTCCTACCTCTTGCATAACTTGCAAACCCAAGGCGAGCGGGCCACGCGTTTGTATCAGCGGTATGCCCATCTCGAGGCTAAAAAGGAGGCTTTGGCCTCTACCTCCTCTCCCTCAGACGAAAACAACGCCACTGCTTCTTCAGTTGGCAGCAAAAAGAAGAAGATCAAAAAGGACCTCTCCCTCCTCCGCAGCCGGATCGCCGAGTCCACGCAGCAGGAACAGCTGATCATGTTAAGGCTGGGCGAGATCCATGTGGAGTTGGTGAATAGGGGAAGGTGGGTTATGACGCACCAGTACCAGCATCAGCACCAGCATCAGATGGTGTATTCGCCGATGTCCGCTGTGATGGAAGGTCATCAGGGGTATTTCGGTCATCATCAGTGGCATCAGCAGCAGAACCATGGTGGTGGTGGTGGTATCCCGGCGACACCATCCTCCGCCGACACCTATTCCGTCTCGCCTGTGGGAGGAGATGAGTACCTTTACACCCCCTCGGTCCTTAGTCCGCTTTCTCCTTCATTTGTGCCCGGTGGAGGTGTTAGTTTCTTTGAAGATATTTGGACTCGCCCATCCCAAAACTCACAAGACCACTTTACCTGTCCGGGAGAAACCCTGGTTCCTGCCCCAGGCCCCGAGCAAGAACATGAACACCACCACCCAACCGAGGGACAAGAAGAAGAGGAAGAAGAAGAAGAAGACGACCAAACACCCAAACCCAAAACTTCTTTCCAAGACCTCCCTCTAGACTCCCCAGCAGTCCCCCTCTCTGCAGTCACTCCCAAGTTCAGCACCACCACCAGCACCGTCAGTACCGTTAGTACACTACCCTCCGAACACCTCGCCACCCCCATAACTCCCAGCAGAATCCCATGGGACGAATACCCGTCTGACTCCGAAGACGACGGGTCGTTTGAAAGCTTTGATGCGAGCAGTTTTACGCCTATCGGCGTGACGACTATTAATCCACTGACTTGTAACAATTCTTTGGTTAACGGCTCCGGCTCGGGCTCGGGTTCGGGGTCTGGCGTGATGATTTCCGAACCGGAGGAAAACCAAGACGAGGAACAAGAAAAAGAAGGTGAAGAAGACGAAGAAGACGAGGGAAGTGACGAATCCGCTTCCGAACCAGGGGATTTGCTTTCAGAGCAACAAAGAAGGACTGCTTCGTTCTCACGGGGTGGTGATGACTGGACTAAGGGGAACAACAACAATAACAACCACAGGAGGCTGAGTATGCGTAGCTTGAAGAACCTGTGGCCTGCCGCGCTTGCGGCTGTTGGTGTTCAAATGGGGTTGGAGGAAGAAGAGGATGTGCCGGAGTTGAGGCTTGATACTGTTATCTAGCCTGTTCCTGGTTCTTTTGGGTTCTCGAGGTTATAAAGTGGGCTCTTTCTTGCATTCTATGGTGGAAAGTTGGCGGCGGAGTTTATGACACTGGCGGACATTTTGATAAGATGTGAAAGAGGACAATTCAAGTTCCCTATGTAGGCGTTAACTGGGAAGGTTAAGGATATATGCCTGGGTGTTTTATCTTGGAACTTACTTACTGGTTGTATTGGGTATTGCGCCGAGGAGCTTTGGGATACAGTCAACATCTTCTGTCTGAACAAAAACATCAAAATAGCGGGAAACAGAGAACGAAACGAGCCGGAAGGTTGTTCATGATTAGGTATATTAGCTCTGTATAGTTGTGTAAGCTTGTAGACAAGTCCTTTTGCCACTTTGATATCGTATGGCCGTTTCTTGTCCGTCTTATGTGCCAATGTCACTTTCCGCGTCCCTGATCCGTAAATATCCTGTATGATGTTGATGATGATGATGATGGTATATGCGCCGTACATCTTGCTTGCTTGCTGACTTCTCTAAGCCAACCCCAGCCAGAATTGCCGTTCCGGTTTCCTTCATTTTCCTTCCTCTGACTGTATTCCCTATTCAAACATGCCGTTCGGTCCATCGTCGAACCCTAACTCCTGCGCAGATGGTTGTCTCCTGTGCGCAGCACGTCCACTGCTAGGCGGAGGCGGCAAGAAAGGCATTCCTAACCCGCTGCCACCTCCAGTCGACGATGGCGGAGGGGGGAGCGAAAAGGCCGACAAGGGAGGCTGTGAATCACTGTCCAAGTCCGTTGACAAGGGGCGATCCTGCCTCGCTCTCCTCCCGAACTTGGTCCCGCTCAAGTTCACCGTGATCGTTTCGCCCTCCTTCAAGCTATAATCCTTCTTCTCCTCGGCCTCCTCTTTCTTGCTTGACTTGATCAGGGGCGCCACGCCCTCGATCAGGCCCAGCGACTTTTGCGCCTCCTGCAGCGCCACGCCAAAGTCGAAAGACTCGCTGCGCTCCTCGAAGCCGACGCCGAGCATGGCCTTCTTGCCGGTGTTGGGATCCTGCACGCGCAGGGCAAAGAAGCGGCTGCTGTCGATGGTGGCCTCGACGACGGCCTGGGTGGTGTAGGGGGCGGCGGCGATCAGGTCGTTTGTGGCAGGGTCCTCGAGCACAATGTCCACCTTGACCGTGTCCTTCTCTCCAATCTGCTCGGGCGTCTGCGGCGGGATCGAGGTCTCGATGATGCGCACCCGGCCGGTGAAGATGTGCGCCTTGGGGTCGGCGGTCCAGTCGGCGGCCATGTGGCCCTTGGTCGAGCGCATAGGGGGGATCTGGTAGATGTGGACCGAGGAGGAGGTGATGTGGAGGATGCGCTGGATGGCATCGGGCGGGAGGGGGGCCTGCGTGGCCGGGTCTATGAGGGTCGTCATGATGTGTGTTGTGTTATGGTGGTGGTGGTCACGGTGGTAATGGTGTTTCTGTCCTTGTGATTTGCTTGCTACCTAGTACCTATGTCGGCAACTTATAGTCGACGCTCAACAGGAAGCCAAGGGGGGAAGAAGAAGAAGAAGAAGAAGAAGAGACTGAAGCCAACATCGCCAAACGGGTCCATACACCAGGTTTCAAATGCCCGATGAAGAAAGAGACAATGACGGTAAAGGGTCCTCCGCTACTGTAGAACCCCTAAGTTAACTTCACATTCCCCTTGCTGCCCCTGTTCCATGGAAGCGGACGGCGGGGCGGAAGCCACAAGTAACAGTGGTAGCAGATGCCAGGGGCAGCCTGGAGTAGAAAGGATCCACGCAGCCCCAGGGGGGACCCTCAGTGTTTCGACCCTGTAAAGAGCCCCCGAAAGGTCCGTGACGGACTGCGGCGGCGGTGACAAGCCGCAACATGGAAACTGCCTGGGCAGGGCAGCAACAACCCCGCTAGGTAGTAGCAGCTGCCGATAGCGGGGCACACAGCGGGCATGAAATGGATGGAAACAATGGCCGGAGAGCTTCGTTGACGTGCAGTAGGTACGCATTGAGGGCGGTGAGTGGCGGCAGAATACTTTAAAGGGCCGCCCGCACTTGGGAATTTGGGATGAAAGGTTACATGTACAGTGAGCTAGGTACGCATCTTGAGTCACACTTTTAGATCAGACGCACGCTTCTTCAGAAAACGCTGCATTTTATCGACTCTGCATACCACAAGCCAGATCATTGTCGCAATAAACCTGTATGATTTGACAAAGCCAAAACTTGCCTGCCTGCTCCAAGTCTCCCAAGTGACAAACACCCCGAACCCTCCCCACTTGGATCGACCGCAACAGTGCTTCCTCCCGGGAGGACTTGTATCTTTTGGCGAAAACCACTTCCCACCTTCACAATATCAACACACTTTGTCGTCTTCTCCAACAACCCCCATAAAAACATGGCCACCGACGACCTATCCAACAAGCCGCTCGCGGTACGGACGACATCGTCCACCTCCACTGATGGCGCCTCGTTCGAGTGAGTTTGCTTTGCGTAATTACCACACGCGTCATAACCAAACTGCGCATTGATTGCCTCTGACCAAGACAAACATAACAAACAGCATCGTCAAAACCTACCGCGACCTCCTCACCTCCGACCCCGACATGACTATGCCCGTAGCAGCCATCGAATCGCTCATCGAGCTCTTGCGCGTCACCCCTTCCTCAACAGCCATGGAAACCGTCGAAGTCGTCAAGACCCAAAAGGCCCTCCTCCTCGATTCGGCCCCGAACCCTCTCCCTCTGCTAGCCGGCGCCGACCTCTTCGAGCAGTACCTTCTCCGGTCGCTTAGAGGGCAGACCGCCGAGTCCTTCGACGAGACGAAGCGCCACCTGCTCAACAACCGCCAGCTCTTTGCCGCCCGCGCCAAGGCCGCCCGCGACAACATTGCCGTCATCGGTTCCCGCTACGTGTCGCACCGCAAGATCGTCCTGGCCGCGGGCGGTTCGAGGGTGGTGACCAAGATCCTGGTGCACGCCGCCACGACCAGGACCAACACGCACTTCAAGGTCATTTACGTCATGGACGGCAGTCCGCACTGCGACGCCAGCGTCTCGGCCCTGCGCGACGCCGGCCTGGAGGTGGAGACCATCTCGACCTCCAAGGTGGCCTACGTCCTCAAGGACCAAAAGGACATCAACATCGTCCTCGTCGGTAGCGAGGTCGTCATGCAAAACGGCGGCATCATCTCGCGCATGGGCACTTCGCAGCTTGCTCTGCTCACGCGCTTCGCGGGCGGCTCGCAGAAGCGCTTCTTGGTTGCTGCGGAAAGTCACAAGATTGTGCGCAAGACGCCCCTCTGGCACCCACAGGTGCTGAGGGTCGGCGTCAAGCAGAAGGATATCAGCAAGTTTGACAACGTGGGCGTTGACCCTGTAGGCCAGGAGGCGAGGGATTGGGTGGCGGATCGCGATGAGGTGGATTATACCGATCCGGAGCTGATTGATGGCATTGTGACGGAGCAGGGAGTGAAGCAGCCGAGTCAGATTTGGGAGTTGGTGGATTATGAGAAGTGAGGGGGGTCTTGCTGCCCGGTACTGAAGGTGAAAGGCGTTGAGAAGCGTGGGTAACAAAAGGGCGGTTTTATGAATGGATGGATGGATGGAACTGCTTGATCATTTTCAAGTTATTAGTGTGGTTACTGTGGTAAATATCTTTGCAGCATTATTAGGCGTTTTTAACGGGAAATGGGATAGGTACCTGATATCCTTTGGAGGTTGGTTCATGAAAGAGTCTCTTTTCTCACTTGCTTGGCCTGGGAAGGAAAACAAAGTACGTGCTAAAGTTAAGTCGGGGATGACTGATCGAGTGGAGTGACATGTGAAACCACTTCATTCAGATATATGTAGTTGACAAAATTTCATAACCAAGAAAAAGATACCCATCTGAGTACTAACCAAGATTGCCCTACTCACGTCGTCTTCTGTTTCCAGCCAGCCATTGTTCACCCATTACACATACAAACTCAACGACTCACAAATCTCTAACAACTCTCGCCCCCACCCAAGCATATGGATAATTCCTCTGGTACCAATTCACAAAACTCTTCCTCCCCGCAATCCTCGGATGCGTAGCCCAGCTCCCTCCCAGCACAATGTTGTGCTTCTCATCGAAAAAATCCGCCGTATAGCCGGGGTACAGCTCCATCGGCTTGAACCCCTCCCACTTGCGGAGGACCGAGGAAGTCCATTCCCACACGCCGCCGAGCTCGCCTTGCCCGAGAAGGGTGTTGCCTTTGGAGGTGACGGGCATAGGGTGCCAGTTGTGAAAACCGACGTTGGCACCGTCTAGGTCAGAGAAGAGGCCTTCGGTGGTGATGAGAGTGGTGTTGTTGCCGGAGGGGGAGGAAGACTCGGAGGGGGTTTCGGAAGAGGGAGAGGACGGGGGAGTGATTTCCACGCCGTTGTTGGTTAGGTGGCTGTTTATCAAGAGAAAAGATATTGTTAGTGCGGGCTGGCACGGGAGAGTAAGTCGGAAAGGGACATACGCATTAACAGCCGGAACCGTCCTTCCCAATTGTCTCTCAGCTTCCTTCTTCTTCTTAAGAGCATCGGCATAAGCGTAAATGCTCCGGGTCTCTTCGAAAGTGGGGATACGGCCGCCCATGTAAGCTGCACAACCGGCAAGTTCGTCGTAAGAGGCAAACACGGGCCAGTCGAGAGCGTGCTTGAGAGGCACGAGACCGTAGACTGTGCGGACTGCTGTCTTCTCGAGAAAAGATGAAGGGAGCTGCTGCTTGGAGGTTCTGTTGCTGTGGTGACCGCTCACGCTGTTTGTTGTTCCATTGGCAATCTTCTCGTTGTCCAGGCGGGCCCAAGAAGCAGGGAGCTTGTCGATGTTCTTTTCAAGCAGATATTGTGCGTACTGGTTGCTGTTAGTATCGTGCAATAGTAGTTGCTAGGCAAACGTACCTCTTCGTTGGTGATCGGCCTTCCTTGAGCCTGAAAGGCGGCAACTTGAACGCGCCGTACAGGCTTCTCGTTGTCCCTATTTGCAAGTTAATCCACCATTGCTTTGACGGAAAAGGGTTCACTTACCAGCCATAATGCTTGTTAATATCAGTTCCGTCCTCAGGATCATCCAACCCGATGGTGATCTCCTGTGCCGGAATCTTAAACCACTGATTGGGAACCCTCCCGGACTCTGCCTTCTTAGCGAGCTTCTCAAAGTCGGGCCGTGGAATATGGGTTGGGGGCAGCGTCTTGTCGCTCTGTAGCATCATGTACAACAGCGTCTCGATATGCATGAGCTCGTGCTCAAACCCAACCCAAATGGCCCGACCTACATTCCGCGGGATATTCGCGATGCCGTGCGCATAGAGGCCGCGTAACCGGGACCGCACCGTCTCCTGATAGGTCAGGATTTCTTCCACCGGCGGCCATTCGTCAGGAATCTCCGAGTGCGCATGACACAGCTCTGGGTTGTCGACATCAGGATCAATGCCTCGCTCGAAGATCTTGCAAAAGTGAGCGGGCTCTGACGGAGCCTGCTTGGTGGTCTTTGTGAGCTGGATGTCGAGGAAGGTCGGGATGTGACCGAGGTAAAAGATGCAGGCGTTTCGGAGCTTGATGGGCTTCTCCAGAAGCTCTTCCTGGGGAAGCATATGACGTGTGACGACATCCCATGTCGCCCAAAGGGCCTCCCAGTCGTCCAGAGTTGGGAGTGCGCTGCGAGCGTACACCGAAGGGATGAGACTGAAAGACATCCTTGACTTGGCAAGCAGATGGAGTCCTGCAGTACGACGGAGGGATGTCAGCATGTATCAATGGTTTTGATGGCGCAAACATTCGAGCCTCCCCAGCCCGTGCGCGCTACCCGAACACTGTAGCCCAACACCAGCCTACATATCGGTAAACTTGTGCCAGTGTAGGAGCTGTGCCCATCAGGAGACACTGCAACATCCTATCATCATACGACTGGTCCGTAGGGTGTGGGGAAGGTGTGGTAACACCAGCCGGACGGCTCAAACGGGTAGTCTCAGAAAAAGCTGGAAACCTCAAGCAAGGAAAAGTTGTGAAAGCAACTTACCATATTCGTTGCCGTACGTCCATTCCGAGACTTGTTCCAATCCCGCCGTGCTCCAGAGCCTCTCTGACTCCTCTTTCGAGTACTTTAGGCTCTGTTCGATCTGAATCCTGTCGTGTGACCTAATCAACTCCCCCATAACCATGGTGTCGCGAGTGGGGCCGTAAAAGGCTTGGTGTCTGCCACCCTCTTCGTCATACACATATTCGCCAATGACTCTCCAATCGCCCTCGATGAACGCCGTTTCTCCGAGAATTTCATTGGCGTTTCGGAGACCATTCAAGATGAACCTGGAATCGTCAGTGTTAGTAATGGGCTGGAAAGCGGGAGCCGCCATGAGCGACAGAAAAAGGGGTATGACATACTCGTGAGTAATACCAACCTTGTCTGTTTGGTTATTGTCAGCTTGAAGGTGGTCTTATACCATGTCACATGAGTAGCACAAACCGTTGTAAGCGTGGCTAGTATATGGTTAGCAATGTTCCTGATGACGTCCCAAGGTGTTTGTCAAATACGTACTATACCCTCGCCGGGTCATTGCAAGCGTCAACTCCAATGAGCATCTTGTCATTGGGTCCAAGGACGTCCGTAAAGCCCTTGAGAAAGGTCGCGGCGTCACTGCGGTTGAAGTTGCCTAGAGACAAGATTATGTCAGGATTTTCTTTGACCAATTCAATACGTATTCAAGCTTACCAATGCTTGACCCGAGGTGCAAGATGCATTTCTGTTTATTGATGTTCTCTGGGGCCTTGAGCCAGTCACGTCCATCGTCATATGTGCCCAGAAGACCGTGGCACTTAACGTGCTTGTAGGATGGTACCTGGGCGAGAGTGCGCTCCAGCTCCTCCCGAGACAGGTCAAGGGCATAATAGTCAATTGCCTTGCCGGCGTTGTCCAGGGCTTCCAATAGAAGGTTTACTTTGCGCAGATTTCTGGGGATATGGTTAGCTCTTCGAAATCCAGGGCCCCATTGTCGAATTGTCAGATGTTTACCCGCTTCCGAGCTCAATGATCATGGCACCCGACGGGATGAAGCTAGCCATTTCGGTCGCATGTTTGGTAAGGATTTTGATCTCATCATTGGTAAGATAGTACTCTTCAAGATATGTGATCTGATATGTGTCAGTATAGAACCAGCATGTCAGTCCCACAACTTGGATGAACTTACACGCTCGAACAGCTGCAAGCCTCTTTCGTTGTAGAGAAGCAAGGTGGGTAGCTGTCTAGGGCCATCTTTAGGTCGGAACATGGAGGTTATCTCGGTCTTGAGGTTGATCTCTACAGCAACGCGGCGGATGTCGATGATATCGGCGTTTGATGTCTGCTGCTGAAGCTTGGATAGCACATGTTGTCCAGTTGCTTTGAGCTGTCCGAGGGCACTGCTTGGGGTCATGGATTCGGCACTCGGCATGTTGAATTGTTTATCACCGATGCAAGCTTGGGGGTTGAAAATGGGACAAGAAGTTCTTTTGCAGGATGAAGAGTTGTTGAGGAAAAGGTGACAATGAGAGAAGTATGTAGTCGAGGTCAGAGAGGAGCTGTGTCTAGCTAAGTGGAGGTAGAACAAAGGGAGCTACAGGCTAAACCAATATAGTGAATAGCTTGGAGTTCAGGAACAAGAGGGAAAGATGCGAGGTCAGAGCACCCAGTTCCCGGCACGCAAATATAAATATATTTCCTAGCCTTACTCAGCCTGGCAGTTGGATGTGATGGAGCCATGTGGACGTATGTGGGCATGCATAAGCACAGCAATGGACTCCAAGCTAGCTACCTCTTTCGTCC